GTAGACACCCATCTTTAGGGTAGACACCTATCTTTAAGGTAAGACACCCATCTCTAAGGGTAGACACCCATCATTAGGGTAGACACCCATCTCTAAGGGTAGACACCCATCTTTAAGGTAGACACCTATCTTTAAGGTAAGACACCCATCTTTAGGGTTGACACCCATCTCTAGGGTAGACACCCATCTTTAAGGTTAGACACCCATCTCTAAGGTTAGACACCATCTCTAGGGTAGACATCCATCTCTAAGGTTAGACACCCATCTTTAGGGTAGACACCCACCTCTCTCTTCTCTGAGTCCATCTGAAACCACACGTATTTGGCTTGTGTGGTCTCTGGGATCGTCCAATCAGAACGCTGCGCTGGGCTCCGGAAGGTGGTGAGGGGTGGATGACGCGAAGAAGTGCTCACCAGCGGGACGTCAATGCGGACGGGCTGCACGCTCACCAGGCTGTGGGCGGAGTCACTAGCGCGCAGAGGGAATAGGAGATGCTCCGTGTGCCGCGGAGAGGAGCGCCGCAGCAGCTGCATCTCGTGACGTCTGTCCACCAGGGGGCGCTCAGACCACAGCAGGTTCTCATGGGACAAAGACAGAGGCTAGAGACCAGAGAGAGACCAGAGAGAGACCAGAGCGAGAACAAAGAGAGACCAGAGAGAGAGACCAGGGAGAGACCAGAGAGACACCGGAGAGAGAGACCAGGGAGAGACCAGAGGGAGACCAGAGAGAGACCAGAGAGAGACCAGAGAGAGAGAGCAGAGGGACAGCAGAGAGAGACCAGAGAGAGAGAGCAGAGAGAGACCAGAGAGAGACCAGAGAGAGACCAGAGAGAGAGAGCAGAGGGACAGCAGAGAGAGACCAGAGAGAGAGAGCAGAGAGAGCAGAGAGAGACCAGAGAGAGACCAGAGAGAGACCAGAGAGAGACCAGAGAGAGACCAGAGAGAGCAGAGAGAGACCAGAGAGAGACCAGAGAGAGACCAGAGAGAGACCAGAGAGAGACCAGAGAGAGACCAGAGAGAGCAGAGAGAGACCAGAGAGAGACCAGAGAGAGACCAGAGTTAGTGAATGTGCCACTCTTTTCATTGGCTCAGGTGAACTGTACCATGTGACCTCTCTGGTTTCCTCTGAGCGTCTGTCTCGGGCTCTGAAAACACAAAAACATTTAATTTCAGAATCAAACACTGATTTTATCAAAGAAACGTGAGTTTTAGATACTGACTCTTAGCTTCTCCCCCTTCAGCAGGTCTGAAAGAGAACAAGACAGTTTAGCTCCTGATGACACTAGCTCCTGATGACGCTAGCTCCTGATGACACTAGCTCCTGATGACACCAGCTCCTGATGACACTAGCTCCTGATGACACTAGCTCCCGATGACACTAGCTCCCGATGACTCTAGCTCCTGATGACTCTAACTCCTGATGACACTAGCTTCTGATGACACTAGCTCCTGATGACACTAACTCCTGATGACACTAGCTCCTGATGACACTAGCTCCTGATGACACTAGCTACTGATGACACTAAATCCTGATGACAGTTCCTGATGACACTAGCTCCTGATGACACTAGCTCCTGATGACACTAGCTCCTGATGACACTAGCTCCTGATGACTCTAGCTCCTGATGACTCTAGCTCCTGATGACTCTATATCCTGACGACTCTATCTCCTGATGACACCAGCTCCTGATGACACTAGCTTCTGACGACTCTATCTCCTGATGACACTAACTCCTGATGACACTAGCTCCTGATGACACTAGCTCCTAATGACACTAGCTACTGATGACACTAGCTCCTGATGACAGTTCCTGATGACACTAGCTCCTAATGACACTAACTCCTGGTGACACTAGCTCCTGATGACACTAGCTCCTGATGACACTAGCTCCTGATGACAGTTCCTGACGACACTAGCTCCTGATGACTCTAGCTCCTGATGACACTAGCTCCTGATGACACTAGCACCTAATGAAACTAGCTCCTGATGACACTAGCTCCGAATAACACTAGCTCCTGATGACACTAGCTCCTGATGACACTAGCTCCTGATGACAGTTCCTGACGACACTAGCTCCTGATGACTCTAGCTCCTGATGACACTAGCTCCTGATGACAGCTCCTGATGACGCCAGCTCCTGATGACACTAGCTCCTGATGACACTAGCTCCCGGTGACATTAGCTCCTGATGACACTAGCCCTTGATGACGCGAGCTCCCAGTGACACTAGCTCCTGATGACACTAGCTCCTGATGACACTAGCTCCTGGTGACATTAGCTCCTGATGACACTAGCTCCTGATGACACTAGCTCCTGATAACAGCTCCTGATGACACTAGCTCCTGATGACACTAGCTCCTGGTGACATTAGCTCCTGATGACACTAGCTCCTGATGACACCAGCTCCTGTAGCTCCTGATGACACTAGCTCCTGATGACACTAGCTCCTGGTGACATTAGCTCCTGATGACACTAGCTCCTTATAACACTAGCTCCTGATGACAACTCCCGATGACGCAAGCTCCCGGGGACACTAGCTCCTGGTGACATTAGCTCCTGATGACACTAGCTCCTGATGACACTAGATCCTGGTGACACTAGCTCCTGATGACACTAGCTCCTGATGCTAGCTCCTGATGACACGAGCTCCTGTGACACTAGCTCCTGATGACACTAGCTCCTGGTGACACTAGCTCCTGATGACACTAGCTCCTGATGACACTAGCTCCTGGTGACATTAGCTCCTGATGACACTAGCTCCTGATGACACTAGCTCCTGATGACAGCTCCTGATGACACTAGCTCCTGATGACACTAGCTCCTGGTGACATTAGCTCCTGATGACACTAGCTCCTGATGACACTAGCTCCTGATGACACTAGCTCCTGATGACACTAGCTCCTGATGACACTAGCTCCTGATGACTCTAGCTCCTGATGACACTAGCTCCTGATGACACTAGCTCCTGATGACACTAGCTCCTGATGACACTAGCTCCTGATGTCCTGATGACACTAGCTCCTGATGACTCTAGCTCCTGATGACACTAGCTCCTGATGACACTAGCTCCTGATGACACTAGCTCCTGATGACACTAGCTCCTGATGACACTAGCTCCTGATGACACTAGCTCCTGATGACAGCTCCTGATGACACTAGCTCCTGATGACACTAGCTCCTGGTGACATTAGCTCCTGATGACACTAGCTCCTGATGACACTAGCTCCTGATGACACTAGCTCCTGATGACAGCTCCTGATGACACTAGCTCCTGATGACACAAGCTCCTGATGACACTAGCTCCTGATGACAGCTCCTGATGACACTAGCTCCTGATGACACTAGCTCCTGATGACAGCTCCTGATGACACTAGCTCCTGATGACACTAGCTCCTGGTGACATTAGCTCCTGATGCCACTAGCTCCTGATGACACTAGCTCCTGATGACAGCTCCTGATGACACTAGCTCCTGATGACACAAGCTCCTGATGACACTAGCTCCTGATGACAGCTCCTGATGACACTAGCTCCTGATGACACTAGCTCCTGATGACACTAGCTCCTGATGACACTAGCTCCTGATGACAACAGCTCCTGATGACACTAGCTCCTGATGACACTAGCCCCGGTGACATTAGTTCCTGGTGACACTAGCTCCTGATGACACTAGCTCCTGATGACACTAGCTCCTGATGACACTAGCTCCTGATGACACTAGCTCCTGGTGACATTAGCTTCTGATGACACTAGCTCCTGATGACAGTAGCTCCTGGTGATGACACTAGCTCCTGATGACACTAGCTCCTGGTGACGCTAGCTCCTGATGACACTAGCTCCTGGTGACACTAGCTCCTGATGACAACTCCTGATGACGCAAGCTCCCGGTGACACTAGCTCCTGATGACACTAGCTCCTGGTGACGCTAGCTCCTGATGAATCTAGCTCCTGATGACTCTAGCTCCTGATGAATCTAGCTCCTGATGACTCTAGCTCCTGATGAATCTAGCTCCTGATGACTCTAGCTCCTGATGAATCTAGCCCCTGATGACAGCTCCTGATGACTCACTCAGGTCGTTGGGGTTGGATCGATGCAGATGTTTGTTTCTCTGGAGTTTCCTGCTGCAGCTCAGCTCCATCTGCCACAGACACAAGTACTTTTAATACTAGGCAAGGCAAGTTTATTTATATAGCACAATTCATACACAAGGCAACTCAAAGTGCTGAACAAAATAAGAAAGAATTAAAATCATAAATAATCACAGAACATTAAAAAGAAAGATAAAAGTATAAAATCCCTCAGTTGTAGCACAGCTAAACAGAACTGTCTTTAACCTGGTTTTAAACATTGTCAGAGAGGAGGCCTGTCTCACATCTTCAGGAAGACTGTTCCAGATTTTAGCAGCATGAATCTGAAAAGCAGCCTCCCCATGTTTAGTTCTGACTCTGGGCACTAACAGGAGTCCAGTCCCTGTGCTCCTCAGAGTCCCAGCAGGAGTCCAGTCCCTGTGCTCCTCAGAGTCCCAGCAGGAGTCCAGTCCCTGTGCTCCTCAGAGTCCCAGCAGGAGTCCAGTCCCTGTGCTCCTCAGAGTCCGGGCTGGTTCATATGGGACTAACATGTCACTAATATATTTTGGTGCGAGGCCATGGAGAGACTTGTAACAAGCAGAGCTGTTTTAAAGTCTATTCTCTGAGCCACAGGAAGCCAGTGCAGAGACCTGAGGACTGGACTAATGTGGTCGTACTTCCTGGTTCTAGTCGGGACTAATGTGGTCGTACTTCCTGGTTCTAGTCAGGACTAATGTGGTCGTACTTCCTGGTTCTAGTCAGGACTAATGTGGTCGTACTTCCTGGTTCTAGTCAGGACTCGAGCTGCTGCATTTTGAATGTACTGCAGCTGTTTTACAGCCTGTTTGGACAGACCTGTGAGCAGGCCATTGCAGTAGTCTGACCTACTGGAGACAAATGCATGGATAAGAATCTCCAGGTCTGCTTTATGTGGGAATAAGGATATTTTACTGGTTAAATTCGGACACCCCTGTAATATTTCATGTTTTACTTTATTTTTATTTTTAATGTCTTATTGAGACTATATGAAGGCACAGTATTTAATGTTAGTTTACATTAAAATAGCATACTGGCGCCACCAGGTGGCGTTCGCCTGTTTTTGAGTTAAGGTGAGGGCCTCACGAGAGAGAGAAAGTGAGAGTTTCAGAGAGAACATGATTGTGAACCTGCAGTTGCCTGTCGTGCTAAAGGACAATAAAACCACTGTGAATCGTCAGATGCTGCCTCTTCTTTACACGTGCAACAAAATTTGGTAGCAGAGGATGGTTCAGCTGTGCTACAAAAGACGGTGAGTCAGCGGAAAAGAATGCAAGACGACACGATGCAGTTTGAGGAGCTTCAGGACAAGCTAAGCGAGGCCTTGGTGCAGCTACAACCTGAACAACTCCACGAGGTGTGTGATTTTGCAAAGATAGACACTGCAAAGCCGTCCAGAAAGCACACGCTGTTAAGAAAGATAAGCACGGAGGTTGACAATGTCATTGAAAAAGAAGAGGAGACCATAGCACTAACGTTTCTGCGAGCGCTAATCGCATATGCTAATGATGCTAAGGAGAGAGCCGAACCACCGCCACCACAAGCAGCTGCAGAGACGAGCGTCAGCCACAAAGCAGAAGCACTTTCTATTTGGCAAAAACAATATGCAGCTTTACAAGAAAGTTTTCTGGAGTCAACAAAGAAAATTGAAGAGGAAATGGCCAAGCTAACAACACGAGGCATGACTGGACAGCAGAGACGCGCTGATCTGACGCAGCCCCTTGCTCCCCCGACACCTCCATTGCCTGAAGTGACTATCAGAAGAGAGTTTAGGATTAATGGTCAAATCGGAGAGCGAGGCCAGAAAGACAAACTTTCGTATTCTAATCTCATTCACCAGATTGATATGGGTCCAAAGAAGCATCACAGTGAATGTGAGATTATTGAAGCAGTCGTCAGAGCGGTGAGTCCTGGTCTCAGTCTACGTGATATGTTGGAGATAAAGTCCGATCTCACTCTGTCTCAGCTACGCACAATTCTGCGGGGACATTATAAAGAGGACAGCTCCACAGACCTGTACAATCGCCTAATGAATCTCACACAGGACAGCAATGAGTCACCCCAGAACTTTCTGTTTCGTGCGATTGAGTTAAAAGAAAGACTTTTAGTGGCATCAAAAGAACCCGGCACTGAAGAGCAGTACAGTCCCAACTTAATCCAAAGAAAGTTTCTGAGGGCTGTGGAAACAGGACTGCTTAGTGTGGATGTAAAATACCAACTAAAGCAGTACTTGGAGGATCCTGCTGTTACAGACGAGATTTTGATTACTAAAACCAATGCAGCAGCCAGTCTTGAATGGGAACGACAACAAAAGTTCAAAAAGCACATGAAAGAGCCTAAAATCAGAGAACTCACAGTAGAAGCTCAAATAGATCCAGAAGCAACCGTCGCAAGTGTGAACAGTCAAGCGTGCCCTGCCCAGTCTACAAAAGGTAAAACTCCAAGACCACAAAGCACAGCTACACGCACTGAGTCGGAGCTTTTTGACCCGGTGACGCAGCTCAAAAGTGAAATGGAGGACATCAAGAAGGCTATACGTGAGTCTCCCAGAGCTTCTTACCCAAGAACAAACCGAAGACGCGGATGCAAAACCTGTCAGTCAGATAACAACGGAGACCAGTGTAACCACTGTTTCAAATGTGGGTTGAGTGGTCATGTGACGCGGGACTGTAGATCCAGGAAACCACCAGGTAAACTGACTGAAAAAGTAGACATGGCTGCAAGTACTGTCACAACCACAATGACACCAGTTGACCCTCAAGAGTTGTACAAAATAGTGACGGACAGCATCCAGAAGTTAGAAGCTAAACTGTCAGCTAAAGCAGAGGGGGAACTGGGTAAAGAAACAGCTAGTGTTAACCTTCTGTCTCCTAATCAGAAAACTCAGTTGCTCAGTCTGATTGGAAAAAAATACGTCATTAGCTGCTCCCTCAATGATGTAAATGTCAAGGGGTGCAAAATGGGTGGTGGGTTTTAATATAGTTTATTTATATTTTATGCATGTCGTGTGTGTGTTTTTAATATTGATTTTAATTTGCACCACCTGAAGCACCCCGGCTCCCCACGTGACAATTAGAACACCTGTGCCACGGTACAAAAGGAGATGGGGAGGGGGCAGGAGAAGGAAAACTGAGAGGGAGCCAGACAGGGGAGCCAGGCGCGGCGGGTGAGAGCCCCGTGGTCTGGCGGCCCAGGCCGTGGAGACGTATTTTAGCCTGTTTTTAGCCTCTGTTTTAGCCCTTTTTTTAGCTTAGATTTTTATTGCTTTTATTTACTTGTTTTTAATGTATTTTATAATAAATTGCTTTTAATTCGCTTTTAATCCAGTGGTCCTTTTTAAATCCGGGTCCGAAGAACCTGTTTTTACACTTGTGACATAAACACAAAAGCTTTGTGGG